AACTATATTTATGCTGCTTTGCTATTTTTTTAAGAGCATAATTATATTATTTTGGAAGAAAAGACTTTAGACATAAAAAATGAATGAAACAGAAGGAACCAAACATAAAAATAAACATTTGCAAGTCTTTGGGTCTTATATCAATTTAATGCCTGGAAGCAGATTGTGATGGCTCTTCCTTTATTAATCCTTAATAACCGGGTAGATATCCACCACCACTTCCATCTTCCCCTATGCCAGGCAATATTAGAGACAAAAAATTCTTTCTGGATAGCAGGATAAGTATGCAACAATATATGAATTCAGATACCAAAATATTTTGTTATTCTAGTGAGCTGAAAGAGTTTATGCATTTTCCCAAAGTGCCTCATTGATACAGATATGACATTTACTTCACGAAATAGCCAATAGGATACCATTCTTGTAGTTCTGAATGTAGGCATAGTTCTGCTGGGTTTCTAGGATGCTGCTGTATTATCTGCTGCTACATTATTCTCAAATAAAAATATTTCGTGCCCTAGCTTCACCCCTCTGTAAACATCATATTTCAAGATTCCTTTTGAAAAATGGCCACATAGGAAGAGATCATGAAAGGGAAAAGATAAATGTAAGTTTAATGTACATGGTAGATCCAGTAAATTTTATTTATTTAAATTAAAAAAGAAATATACTATACATCATTGATTTACTTTGAAACTGTCATCTGAAAAATAATTCTTTGAAATAAAAATGATTAGGCTGTTTATAAAAAGTAGTGGATGGACTGTAAACAGCCAAAGGAAACTGAAGTTTTGTTTCCTAAGCAATTGCTTCTGTACCTGACTCTGAACTGACTCTAAAAGTTTTCTACTTGAAAGTGCCTGTCCAAAGCCACAGTTAGTGGAAGAATCCAACCTTGAAGGAAAATGAATCTTGAGTAAGAAAGAGAATTTTTCCAGTAAGTACAAAGGAACAATTCAGGCTAGGTAATAAGGATGAGCCTTGAAAAGAAGAATTATCTCATTGATCTTGCCTGGCTGCTCAGGTGAAATATTCAACTGAAGAATCTCACAAGAGAAGAGGACCCTTATATATGAGGGTGACAATTTAAGTTAAAAAAAAAAAAAAAGAAGAACAAAAAGAATGCTATTATTGCCATTGGGAGAAATGACTTAAATTTCCTTAAGAATCAAAATACCTATAAATCAGGTCACAATGGAAAAAAGTCCAGATGTTAAAACATGATATAGAGGAAAAGAATGACGGTAGGTTTCTTTTTGTGTGAAGGCCATGTAAAGCACCTGTACAGAGTAGAAATCACTAAAGGGTAGTCTCTCTCTCTCCTCAACCTCTTGTTTATTAGTTTTTGAAAGGCCCCTGACAAAAGCATATGATTAATAAGATAAATCTTCATAGAGTTTGTTTATATTTATTTTTATGCCTAAATTATGCTCATGTGCTGTCATGTACATTTTGAATTCTATTAAAATAGGACACACTCAAAATTCCCTACGATCACAATGTGTAAATTCCAAGAGAAGTTGCTTAGAAGAAATATTAGCTGAATATAAATATAAAGCATGTGTACGCTTTAGAGTAAGCAGGAACATGGTGTAAGACCCTAGCTTAAATTCCTTTGGAATTAAAAAGAAAGTACAACTTGAGTCCTCAACAAGACTTATTTTTCAGTCTCTTTAAATGTAGCAAATGAGTTGAGTTTTCATATTTACATTCTAAATGTATTCCTAGGGAGGAAAAAATGATTTCAAGTCTTGCAACCTCCAAAGAAGCAGCAATAACTTATTAATTGTGCCCTGGGTGATCTTAAACTGTGGCAGAAAAACAGCCTTAGAGACTTCCAAAGATGCATAAAGTTCTCCTAGGAGGAACAGTAGGGACACAAGGAGAATCTAACTGCAGAAGTATTTCAAAAAAGCCATTTACATGTTGAAGGAGAGGATTTAATTAATAGTGTTACAGCTGTGAAGTTAATATGCAGATCGGAGGTCCTATCACAAGGGACTGTTACATATTTTTTAAACAAGTCACTCAGTCCTACATTTTTTTCCCTTTACAGCTCTTTGCATAGTAATAAATACATGTCCCGAAGGTTTCAGGATGAGAATCATGATGTCTGCTAATTTCTTCAATAATAATAAAGATGATGATGTTGATGGCAATTATGAGAAGCACACTTTACTGAAACCTCACTCTATGCCAAGATCCTTTCTCAGTCCTTTATATGCATTATCTTAGTTAATTCTTTCAACAATGCAGTAAAATCAGCACTAGGAAACCGAGGCTCCAGATCACATAAATGCAGACCCACAATCATCCCCGACCCTATCATATGTGTATGCATTCCCTAAACACAAAACAGTCATTTCCTTCAAGTTCTTGATCTTCTTCAAGATCAAGAAGATCTAAGGAGAATTGGGACCCTTAAGACCAGGGACAAACATACGGTACAGAGCTGACTGGCAAATGAAGTTAAAAAGGAAAGGAGTGTTTGGATGCTGAGATCAAGAATCCCCATAAGAGGCCAAACGTATGATGATCATTCATGCCCACTATAATGTGCACTAATAGTTAATAAGAATGGTTATATGGTTTCTGTCATTGCAATAACACCGAATAGAGAGATTTGTTATTTTAGAATGGATATTTTGGGCAAAAATCCAGGCAAAAGGAGACTTCTATTAATCTATCCAAATGGGTCATGCCAAAAAATGCCTTCACGAACTAGCAAGAAGTAGAGAGCTTTCAAAAGTACATACCAGCATATATGGACAATGAATTTCTTATAAAAGCTGGAGTCCAAACTCAAGGAGTGGCAAAGGTGCTTGGCTGTGTCAAGCATCCTTAACTCTGCTCCATTTCTCAGAATAGATTTCCTACAGATTGCAAATGAAGCTAACCTGTGGCTAACCAGGGAAATGCTACCAGCCTTTGAGGCAGTTAATAGAAGGAGAACACCAGAAAATCTTTAGTATGCTCACTTCGGAGTCGTCTATCCTTTTCATGACCTAGAATACTTGGTTGCTTGCCTAATGGTATTTGAAAGCATAATAAAATGAGTGACCGGGACTAGAACATCCATTGTTTTTAAACTTGCACCCAAAGAAACGAGAAGGAAAAAACCCTTGATGAGCATTTTGATATTAGAAAAGCAGTTACAGAAAGCAGGGAGGGAAAACAGACTGATATAAATGACTACTACTAATATTATTATCTTCTTATCATTTCATAGGGTTGTTTTGAAGCTCACTTGAGTTACCATAAATGATGTGCTTAAGACAATGCTTAATACTCAACAAGTGCTGATTACTACCATTTATTGGCAAATTGGCCCCATTTTTATATTTCCAGGAACTTAGTATGGTTAAATGATTTGCCTAAGGGCCCATAGGTAATAGGTGTTAAAGACAAGATTTGAGTAAAAGACTTAGGATTTGAAATTCAGTTTTCTTTTAGCACACCACAATACCAATTCCATAGGACGAATTTCTTCTGGTCTAATTATTTTTTTCCAAAAAATTAGTTTATATGAAAGAAAATAGAAGAGAATTACTGCCCAGTACAGTAATGATTTAAAATGACCATTCAAATTACAAGATAGAAAATGCCATGGTTTGAAAAATGCTATGCTTAACTTATTATTCACAATTATTATATTCATAGAATTTGCATTTCAAAATTACTTTATAATCTGCATGTTACATAAGATAACTAAGCCCTGATTTAAGTACTTTTTTCTGTCTTAAAAATTAGAGGTAAAATGTGATTAATGGCACAAATATTAAAGGTAGATGCTCATGCATTAGTATAAAGTCAGTATTAGAAATGTCATTTTTGGCTCCTGAACACATTTGCCAATGTGAGAAAATGATGACAAATTCTAATTATAAAGTTATTATAGTGTAGAATAACGAGTAACCACCTCTGGAGGTTCAGAGAAAATCCTTCAGCGATTTTTGCTGCTTAGCTGAATCAAAAATTCTTACCATATGGACTTCAATGGAGCCTAACAATCCTAACAGTCTGTGTTGGTCAAGGCAAATTTTCTAAGATCTAAAGCCACAAATGCTACTAGAAGGCCATTATGTTACCTAGGAGTTTTTAGACTATCATGCAATAGAATAAGTTAGCACAAATAGAGTTGATAATGAGAAATCTATAAACAACAATAACAACAAAACTACAGCTTTTTCATTCTTTTTGTAATTATACTGTTACCTTTCTTCTCTATGATTTCTGCAAGTAAAGGCTGTGCTGGTTTATGAGAAAAATGTATGAGAAACAAAGCTAGAAACTTTACTCAAGATGCTCTTACATTCGGATGGCAGTCAAAAGCCAGTTCTGCAGGAGTCACAGTGAAAACTGTGTGCTCTGCTGACACTCGTCATAGACAGAAGTGAGGATGGCAACACGTTGCATCAAGACAACCCTCCTCTGATCAGAATTTCAAGATGTACTTAGTTGGTAGTGAATGTATCCTCCACTTCCACATATGAGGTTTTCACGGTTTTTCAATATTTTCACACTGAAAATATGTCTCAAACATATTTTCCCCCAGGATCATGATTCAAGCAAAGATAGCAACTTGCTCTTCATATGTATTCTGTTAACATTTTCATTAATCCCTCTTTCCCCTTTAAATACAAGAATGTTCAAAACCATTTTTCACTTAACTTTTGGAGCTGTTGTCACTGTCACATTAGGCCTTTTTAAACTGGACATTAGAATACACTGGAAGCTGAGTTCCACCAGAGCTTAACAAACCAAAGCGTAAGGAAATAGTTGTGGAGTTGCATTAATTTAACATGCTCCCAAGATCATTCTTTCCTGATCAGTATCCAAACTTATTTTTGATTAGTATTACATTTGTAATGTTAGATTACTCTCTATATATGAGAGAGAGTTTATATGTGTGTGTGTACATACACACACACATATAGTCATGATAATTATTTATTAGTGTACTCTTTTTAAAGTGTACTTTGAAAGCATAATAAACTTACCTTAGAGAGCCCACCTACTTCCAAATAAAAGCAGATAATGAACACATTCCAGGTGACCCAGAGGGCAGTCCATACTGTGTACTAGAGAGAAAGGGGGCAAGGGGGAGAAAGAGAAGAAATAATGTAGAGATGAAAGGCATGTATACTAAATAAATCAATAATAATGTCAATAAGTCTCAGTCTTCTGGGAAGAAGCAGGGCGCGCTCAGAAAAGAGTGCTCCTTATGAGGTCCCCTAAGATCTAGAAATTAAAAATCCAATAGTTTCTACAGCTTTCAGTAGTGCCAATAAAGCTAGATTTATTTTTAAAGTGCTTTGCTGGCTTGCAGATAAAGATAAATCCAAGTGCTGACTTGATTTCTGTTTTCTGAGTATTAGCTTTTCCAGGGAATACAATTAAGCAAATTTTCTGTGGGTTATCTACCTTTTAGTTATAATATTAACCTGTCAAGTTTTTAGGAATGTTAGTCAAAACTCAGCACTTCCAGATTCCTGAATGAAGATCATGTCTGAAAAGGGATGTTTGGAGTAAAATTAACAAACTTTCCCACTGAACTATTTTAGTATGAGTAGAGTGTGTGTATGCCTCCAATACAATCATATAAAATATATTTTTTAAAAAACACAAAAACTAATAAATAGGATTAAGAATAAGCAAATAAACAACAGACTTCCATAATGGGAAAATACCTTCCAATCACATCCAACAGACTCAAACACACTAGCCTTACTGATTAATTGGTTTTATTAGTGTGTTAGATATTAGGAATTGCCTAATATTCAGGTTGACCATTACTCACAAGATAGCCTTAGATCAAGACTCACCAGTGGAGAGGGTCTTAGGGTGCAATGCACCCAGTCATTGATGAAACTAAGATATAGAACTAACATATGGAATAGCTTGGATGACTGAGGATAGAATTTACTGTGAGAACACAATACAATGATTTTCTCATTCCCTTTACCACAAAAATCTATAAATTCTAAATTTCTCAAATAGACACACTAATTAAATCATTGCTTTTTACCAGTGATTTTAATCACATGCTATTGCCAAATTAAAATAATTCTTTTTTAAATTAAAATAATTCTTGAAATAATTTCATTAGTTTATTCTATGCTGTGTTATATAATAAAATTACAAATTTTAAACACTGTGCAAAATAGCCATGTTCCAATTGGAAACCTTATCTGAAGCTTTGAACTACTCATGAAATTTAATTTACATTTGTCTTTCTGTTAATTGTGATTTTCAAAAGGCTTTCAAAATAATCAAAATGATCTCATCCAGTGGTGTAGTTCTATAACTGGTTACATTTGATGTCACATCAACATCTTTTTTTTTTCTTTCTGGAGAGGTTTTGCTTTTCTTTTGTTATTAAGAATAGTGCAATTATAATTATGAGTTAAGGCTCCAAATCACTGGAAATTTAGAGAAGTTGGCATATACATTAAAACATTAACACAAATTAAAATACATAGTGAAGCTTTAATATTTGTAGATATTACTGATGCTGCCAATATCCTGTTAGTAAAATCTTCTGGTATGAATGGATTTAGACAGTTTTAAAAATGTGTCAAGTGCCTTGGAATACACTTTTATAAACCACAAAATAGTCCCATGGATACTGAAAATTGCTAACCTTCATCCTTAATGCATACTTTTTGCAAACTGACTGAGTCACAATAACCACAACAAATTTTAAAGCTGTTGCTAATTTAAGATGGCATCTGGCATCTGACATTTTTCATTCTAAATTTATCCAATTATGAGTCTATTAGAATGAGAAAGCAGTGCAGACCACTAAGTCATGAGAAAGAAGCCAATGATAAAAGTTTAAAAAAGGACATAAAAGAAAGTAAGACTAACATAAGGAAATAAACAAAAGTAATTGCAAAACCATATGATTCTTAATTATTAGGGCGTCAAACTTCAATGCTTAAGTATCCTTTTAGAAAAGATAATCCACTCGCAGTTACAACAAATGCAAAATAAAACAAATCTATTTAAAAAAATCACAGCACAGATTCAGTGATTGAAGTGTACTCATGCCATTTGTGAACTTTCAAAGATAAAAAGGTTATTAGTTGAGTAGGTTTCAAGTGTCAGCTGCTAAATTCCTAACAATAACATGAGTTATTATATTACTCTGCTGTTTTCTATGTTCCTGGTACTGTGTTAAGCACTTTGTATGTTCCTGATACTATACTAAGTACTTGATATAAATCAAGTTATTCCGTCATCACACTAAACTAAAGAAGAGAGTAATCATTTGATCACCTACTTAGTGTCGTAGCTGGGAGAGGAAATCTAACTATCTGACTCCAGAGCTGAGATGCTTATGTATTGAATGACAGGCTTTGTTTTAGAAAATCTTAGGAAAAGGACTATGAAATAATTTGCAAGTTAATAGTTCACCAAATTTTGCAACTTATCAAATGACCAATTCATCAAATTTCCAGTTTTCCAAAAATCAGTTTCATTTACATAATTCTGCAACAGGCAAAGTATCTGAATAACAATTTCTTTTGTACTTTGCAACTAACTTGTTGTGTTGTGTGTAATATGAATGTTATGGGTTTTTTAAAAAAGATTTTATTTATTCATTTGACAGAGAGAGAGAGAGCACAAGCAAGGGGAGCAGCAGAGGGAGCATCAGAGGGAGAGAGAGAAGCAGGTTCTCTGCTGAGCAGGGAGCCAGGCATCTGTCTGGATCCTGAGATCACAACCTGAGTTGAAGGCAGATGCTTAACCAACTGAGCCACTCAGGCGCCCTGAATGTTATGGTTTTTTAAAAGCAATATCGTAAGCTTCCTTCTTCTAATATATTGGTTTGTTGAGAACAAATATTATTAGTATGACTGAATTTTAGACTATTATGAGATGAAAACTATATACCTCAACCTGCACTGGAGACATAAGTCCATACATAGACATATAGGGAAATAATTCTCTAGCAATACAAACATATACATAGGCATTTAGCTAGGCAGGAAGTATTAGGACAACATATGTATCTTTTTTAAAAAAGATTTATTTATTTGAGAGAGAGAGGGCATGAGCAAGTGGGGGGGGGCACAGAGGGAGAGAATCAAGCAGACTCCCCACTGAGGGTAGAGCCAGACATGGGACACATTCCCACGACCCATGAAATCATGATCTGAGCTGAAATCAAGAGTTGGACATTCAATCTACTGAGCCACCCAGGTGCCCCAATATATGTATTCTTTTTGACATGGTGATTTTATTTATAATTCAACTGAAACAAGAATTTAAAAAGAGATGACTCCATTTTTTATGAAATACCTTTTGGTTATCATGAAGCAAACCTATATGTTCATATATCCAGATACACATACTTAAAGTATAGAAAATAGCTTATATATTTTTTTCTCTGTATAATTATCTATTTATTTGTTGTTCTTTGCTTATGTTCAGTACACATATTTTAAATCCTAATTTATGTAGATAAAGCCTTTAAGATGAAAAAAATGCCCATGTAAGCCATGTAGCTTCCTGAATATTTCATGGTTTTACAAAGATATTTCAGTGTTTTTTTAATTGAAATGAATTTTGAAAGTCTTACAGTCTATTTCTTCCTCACTGAGCAATTAGTCTATAACATGAATTATTTTTACTTCCTGAGCTTGTTTTCCAATTACCAGAAAGGCCATTTATTCATTTATTCACATGTGCATCAATCAGATACAGTTTTATGCACAGTATGTTAGACTTATAATTTTTAAAAAGTAGGTTTCTTGCTCACTCATTGTTCTAATAGTTTCTGGAGTTTAGTATTAATTTCCAGAAGAACTTTAAGAGAGTAATGTCATGTCCTTTCATTTTAATGGCTAAAAAAGCAGAGTGAAAGCAAAAAAAGATATATTGAACAGTTCGATCATTTACTAAGCACTTACACTGTGTTAGGTTATGTTAAGCAAGTCACATATATTACATAATATAATTCTTAAAGACAACCTAAGTCAGATTTTTACATATGAAGTTAACTATGGTACAAATAAAGCAAATTAATGTCCCAACTGTTCACATCCAGTAATTGGTGGAGGGGATTTAATATAGGACCAATTAAATGGAAAATGGACACTCTTAACTGTCAGGTTGAGTAGTGGCCCAGGAAGGAGATTTATGATGACATAGAAGGGAAATTTTCCTGTAACGATTCCAGTTACACAAGTTCTTATGTTTGTACATGAGCATTTGCATGAAAGTCCCAATAACTAAACTGTGGACCTAGCAAAACAACTTGGCTTTCTTTTTAATTTTAACTTTAATTAATTAATTTATTTTTAAAGATTTGTATTTATTTACTCATGAGAGACACAGAAGAGAATGAGAGAGAGAGAGAGAGAGGCAGAGACACAGCAGAGGGAGCAGCAGGCTCCATGCAGGGAGCCCGACATGGGACTCGATCCCAGGGCCTCCAGGATCACACCCTGGGCTGAAGGTGACGCCAAACCGCCGAGCCACCTGGGCTGCCCTCTTTTTAATTTTTAAAAGCAGTTTTGAGTTAATTTCCAAAGTCGTTATTTATTTAAAAAATTTAAATTAGCTAATGCTTTTGCATTTAAATTGATTTAAAATTGCTTAATTAAATTACTGCCCATGAAATAATAAAGATTTAAACAATTCCAGGGCAGAATCTCATTTTGGAGTTTCTTGTAAGATTTAAAATTTTTGATATAGGAGTAAACAGACAGGAGGAAACAGTTGATTCTAGAACACTATGCTTTCTGCTCCATTTCATCTATAGTCAAAGAAACACGAAAGGTGCATTCAAACCCTACAACTGGCCTTGGTATCTACTAATACATATATATCACACTTTGCACTAAGCTAAAATAAATTTCAATCAATATAAAAAGTACCATATGACAAAGTTGTTTGGTGTTCTAAAAGTAAATATAGCAATATCAAACTGCACCTTATCAGCAGTAATAGTATCCAGAGTGGAATTACTATCCTTCCGTTTTGGGACTTGACTGCATTTTTCTAATAGTCTTTATCATGAGACCTCCTCAAATACAGTAGCTGGTGTCCACAACTTTCTATTTCTTAGAAAAAAATTAGATGCATAGTAAGTCAGGTAATGGTAGATGCAGGCAGAACAGCCCATAATAAGTTTATCATGTAAATCCTCAACTAAGCTCAGATTGAGATCAGCAAGGCAATAAGGCCAGTTTCTCTTATTGAACTATTGTAGGTGTGCTCTTGTAAGAAATCACTCTCCAGTCCATCCTATAAAATAATTTTATCCAATAACCTTTAATTCATTTATTCTTTGTTCACTTACGTATTGAGCATCTTTAAAGTCCCATACGTGCCAGGAGAGACCTCGAAAACAGCAATGGGTAGGAGCAATGAGCCTGCCAGGAGGACATTGGTGAGTGGAGTGAGATAGGCCTGCAAGTGAGGATTGTGGGTGTGCAGAGTGCTAGGGTGGGAAGTGTCACCAGGATCCACAGGAGCAGAGGGGAGGAGGCATTTATCCTGGAGCGAAATGCTCAAGCAAGGCTCCTAAAGGGTGACCCTTCAATGGAAGCATTATTATTATTATTTTTAAAGATTTTATTGATTTATTTGACACAGAGATTGTGTGTGAGCACACAAGCAGGGGGAGCAGCAGAAGAAGATGGAGAAACAGGCTCTCCCCTGAGCAGAGAACCTGACATGGGGCTCCATCCAGGACCCTGGGATCACAACCTGAGCTGAAGGCAGATGACTAATCATTATTAAGAGTTTTCCAAGAAGGTAAGGAGAAACAGGGCATTCCAGGTAGGAGGTACAGTGTGTGCAAACAGAGGAGACAAGACACAGCATGTGGTCTTTGGAAAACACAATAGTTCAGCATGGCTGGTATGAGATAGGGGTGTGCGGTGGGCAGCAGGGACTAGAAGAGTTAAGCAAAGGAGCATATTTTATGAGCTTTCATTTTCCACTCTAAGAAGTTAGAAGTTCGCCTATAGACATTGCTGTTCTGCATGGTCCTTTACCATAACCATTTCCATAAGGGTGATTAATTCTTTAAATTCAGCTGTGATAAGCCCTATTTGCAGAAATGGCAGTAACTTACCACCTGTGTTTCAGTACTCCAAAATGTCTGTTTGAAATGGATTGAATTTAAGTGGCATTACTGGTTATTGTTTCAGCCAACAAAGACAGCTAATAGTAAGAATACTGGTGGGTGAGTCGAGAGAAAACCTCCTGCAATCAGAAAGCTCTTTCCCTGCTCAGTGAAAAGTCAGTATGAATTTCTGATCCAGCACTCCTCTCACGGCTACTGAAAAGTTGGTGCCTTCTGAGGCACATCTTCATTAACATGAATGCCATATTTATTTTCTAGCTTTTCATACCAGAATTAATCCCGGTCACCAGTGGTAGTTTCAAACTGAAGCATTCATGGAAACAACTTAGGGATGAACTGCCTATGGTGTGAAGACAGTAACGTGGCCTAGCCATTCTCCCAATAACAACATGATCTTCCCATTAAAGGCACTCTTTGTGAACAGAATTCCCATGCTTGTGGATTAATGACTCTTCAACCATTTCTCCCAAATGTACAATTTATACCCATGTTGGAATAAGACACAGTCTGGAATCCCACACAGGTAACAATATTCTGTGATCAGCTGAGATGGAAGGGCAGCATTATTTTCAATATCAAAATTTATACCGACAATGCCACCATATCATCTGGAATCTGGTGGTGAAGAAAAGTATAATAATCATGATAAATCAACTTCGTAAACCTAACAATAATAGAGGTGAGGCAGATACACACCCGTTTCTGCCACTTACTATCTGGGTTTCTGGGGTAGGTTACTTCACATTTCCTTGTCTGTAAAATTAGGGATGCTAACACATACCCACAGGTATTTGTGAAAATTAAACCCAACAACATCTTTGGCTTTCCCACCAATTCATTGCTTTCTTTCTCTCCCTATCCTGGGATATGGTCTTAAATAAGGTAACAAACAAGATAGAAATTTGATTGGCATACAGCATTAAAAGAGAAAAATCAACATGAGCAAAAACACGGATTGTTTTTCTAATAGATTTTTCTTGAAGATTCTTAAAGATCTAAATCTGCTTCCTTCTATGCACAGAGGGAGAAGGGAGAGAGGGAAGCAAAGAAAAGATACCAGAGAAAGAAGTGATGCCAGTTCTATCATGAATGGACTCTGAACAGATAAGGAACTCCATGGTAAAAATGATGATAAGTATTTACTGAGCATCTACTACATTCCGTGTTCTCAAAGAACTCTGCCTAGTGGGAAAACATAAGTGTGAACAGATGATAAAACATGCTCAAGACACAGAACTGGAGTGATTAACTATTACAGCATGTGGAAGGATGGAAGTGTGCTACAGAGACAGAAACCACTGCTGGAGTTGGAGCTCAGAGACATAGGCAGGACTACAGGGCAAGAGGCTGGACAAGCAGGTAGGAGCAGGGTGCGTGATGCTGAAGTGCACAAACTCTCCACACTTTGACGGCTTGTGCTCAGCCCCATCAGCCTTCTCATGCCCTTTTTACAGTCCTTTCATCACCTCCAGAGACACTCCCCCCACCCGGTGCCTCCCTACTTTGCATAATGAATTCCTGGAGAGCTGGGATGCTGTAGTTTACCTTCTTTTCTATTTATCAAGCTGTAGCCCAGGGTAGTAGGGCTTAATAAATGCTTAATGAGGGAATGGGAACTACTGCTACTGACGTCCTACTATGTGCCTGCATTACCTTCTGCACACAACCCCCTTGGGGTCTCCTCTTCCCTGGTGAACTCCCACAAATTGCAGATCTCCGCTCCCCACTCACTTCTGCAGGGTCAGCTCCATCTCCTCATTATACATTGCATGGCACAGTGTGCTCCTTTGTAAAATGTGTCACAGTTGACATTTAACATTTACCCGAATGATCATTTGACTATTTGTAAGGTAACTACCCAAGATGGCAGAGAAGACATGTGTCTGTATTTGATCACCAATGTAGCTCACACTTAACACAATGCCAAATATATGGCAGAAACCCAATAAATGGGGTTTGAATGAATAAGTTAATGAAGAAAAGGAGGAAGTTAAGAAAGAAGGGAGGTGGGGCACCTGTCTGGCTCAGTGAGAAGAATGTGTGACTTGATCTCAGGGTCCTGAGTTTGAGCCCCATGTGGGGTATAGAGATTATTTAAATAAATAAAAGTTTTAAAAAACAACAAAGGGAAGGACGTGGGGGAGTGGGGAAGGGGAGAATGAAGGAAGGGAGGGAGAGAGGACAGACTGTGAGATCCATGCTTGGACAGGTGGTCAGCCAAGGATATTCTTAGATTTCATCCTGCAAAGAGCTGGCAAAGAGTTTTAAGCCAGCGATTTAGGCAAAGTGCAAAGGACACACTGGAAGGCAGGAAGATAGAAGCCTCAACCAAGGCAGTAGCTGTGTGACCAGTGTGTAGAGCCAGTATGTAGAGGGTACAAGCAACAGGACTAGGTAATGTCACTAATGTGTACCAACAGCTTTATTCCAAAGAGGCCACTGGTTTCAAGCCATCTGGTGTTTGGGGCTTCCAAGGAACACCAACATGATAAAGTCTACAGTGAGCAAAAGTGCCATGTTTATAGCAACAAACTAGAAGACAGAATTGATATAGTAGTTTGATATTATGCATATGGAAGTGTTTTATGCTACAAGTCCAACTCCATGAGACACCCTTCTAGCAGATTATACAGTGCCTCAGCAGAGACTGGCTTTCAGAAAAGAGGAGCAAAGCAGAAATTGTTTAGCGCCTGCAGCTGGCTGAGTGATACAAACGCCCCTAATGCCCTGGGGCAGCTATTTTGAGTGCAGAGTCAGCTGTGGGCCATTTACATTCACCTCTGCTATACGGTGAAAGATATAAGAAAGCCAATTTTGAGATTCAAAATAGAGAATTAATACATTCATACAAAAATGTGTAGCTTTATTCTTTCCACAGTAGTGCTTGGATTCAATCAAAATTGAAAGATGGCGTATGTTTAAGTCTATAGTTTTTTTTTTTTTCTAGTAAACCAATGTCACTGCACTGCAAGAAAATATTCACTAATCCTACTGAACACTGTATATTTATTTAGGCTTATGAGTAGGTATGTTATTCCTAGTTACAATCACTTATATATGCTTATTTCTCACAACCTTATACATGTAGCCTAAACATTGCCTTTTTTAAATAGAAAACTAATTACTGTGAATAATTCCCATTCAATTGTGGAACACAGCACACACTTCATTAAACTGCCCCGTAATGGGGGACGTGCTGACCATGTTTGGTATAGTGGGAGTATAGAATTAATATTTCAAATTTATCTTAACAGAATGGAGGCATGTTCAATGGTATAAGTTATGAAATACATTAGGGACAAGTACTAAATACCCTTCAGTACATGCATTTGTAATGCCCTAAGTCAATTAAAATTAAATTATATTATTGTCATCAGTTAGTAAATAATTATGGCTGTGTAGGTTTGCTTTTTAGTGACATCTGTCACGGAAATGACAGTTAATGCACATTTACGTCTCATTCTGACATCCGGACCACAGCCAGACCTCCTACTCTATCCAACTCTGTTTCAAATTTCCTTGTGGAACTTGAATTCAGTTACATGGTGTGTCGGACTATGTGTCTCACACTTATAGTCATGTTGCTTTGCTCTCATTAAGAACATTCACTGAGTCATTTTTCCTACAGATTATCATCTCTGAACAAAATTCAATACCTAAAGGCTCAAACAGCAATGCTACATAATATACAAGGGAACAATTTAAGATATTTCATTAATCTTCTTTTAGTAATTTTGTAGCATTTATTGTTAAGACACAGGCTAAAAAGAAGACTTACCACAACAATATATCGAGGTCTGTATTGAATGGTTCCAAACAAACCCAATATGACGACTATTATGTGTAGAAAATTTCCAAGAATTGGTGCCCACTGGAAGCCAAGGAAGTCAAAGATTTGCCTCTCCAATGCTGAGAGCTACAGTAAAGCAAAGAGAGTCCATTAGTGTCTAATCCAAGCATCCTCACACCATTTTAATATTTATTTCATGCCTAGAAGTCTGTATATTTAATTTCAGTCACACTTATGGACATCACCATCACTAGAGTTATTACACTCATTTCCTGTACTGTTTTATGCAACTTCTCTCAGAAAATACAATAAGATAATTTTGAGGTTATAAAGTATAAATGGATTTTAAACCTCTGGAGAGCTTGACATATACTCCTTAAATCATTTTCTCAGTAGAAAACCCAGGCAGATATTTTAGAGTATCATATTCTATGGTATAAGTGCATCATTTTTAAAGGTTTAATTTATTTATTTGAGAGAGACCGAGCACAAGTGGGGAGGGGGGCAGAGGGAGAAGCAGACCCTCTGCTTAGTGGAGAACCCAACTCGGGGCTCCATCCCAGGACTCTGAGTCAAAGGCAGCCACTTAACTGAGCCACCCAGGCACCCCGAGTTCATCATTTTTTTTTTTAAGTAAAATGGTTGGCTTAGTATAACACACTTGGAAAAACAACCACAGCTTGAATGCTAGAACTGGTATGATTTTGGAAAGAAAAAAAAACAAAACAAATCTTCTGCACATCCCTGCCTTCGTAAGAAACATAAATTACCAAATCTATGTGGTTTCTTTGCTTTCATTAGTCTATCATTGATAATAATGACTAACCACTTTTTCAACATGAAGCTTACTGACTTATTTAACTCTGAGCTCATGGCTCCCATGTAAAACTAAGTTAAATAATTCTTTTGAATCATATTTTATTGAGATCATATGCCTACGTGAAAATTCATCTTAGACTAGGCAAAATCCATTTTGAATGCAGAAGTAAAAATTACGGGACCATTAAAATTTTAGATAGCCAAAATTTTAGATATCTAAAATTTTAGAGTTTATTATATTTGCATTATATACAATTACATTTTAATCAATTATACGATGTATTAAAATATACATTTAAATAATTTGTGTGACTGATGACATAGATGAATTTCATATAGTCCAGTAAGTGCCAATAATGTCATTATCATATAAAAATTATAATCATTGTATTCTATATCTAAAAATGTTATAGTTCCACCTGCTGTATTTGGACACCAGTTTTATATATTCCAGGCATTTTTCTAGTTTTACTTCGATAAAATAATAATTCTAATACAATGATCCAACGATTAGCTAAGTTGATGGCACTAGAAACCACAGGTTTGAAATGAAAATGGTACCCTAGGTATTTTTCTAGTTATGTGGCAGGTGTATGCTTGAATAGCTTTAATTTCCTTGGACATAAAGAAATGTCCTCCATCCAGAAAGCTGAATTTACCTTGGTTAAAATTCACCTTCAGCAAGCTGTGGAGGAGAAGAGAAATGAGCAAATGCCTAAAGACAACCACACCAGAACCACATTCATTTCATGGGCATTTCCTGATCATCAAGCGATCTGTCACCATCCTCTGCTTGCACAAATGAGAGGATGCACAGAAATGGCTACAACACAACATAATCAGAACAAGGTAAGAAGCAGCACCATGTTTTCAATCCCCTGTTAGTCTGTTTGTGGCTCTAATTAGTTCCCAGGAACCATCCCCTAAAAATGCAGCATTTTATTTATTGGCCCATCAGCGATGTAAATATGCAGTTTTTTTTTATGTCCAAACAGGATGGATGTCTTCAGATAAAAAAGAAACCCTGAAGAGCAGCTGCAGGCAATTTATTCTGAAAAGCAACCCTATTTTAAAGCTGTCGCGCATCACAAAAACCTTTAAAGGGAACTTTTCAAACAGAGAAAAATCCATTTTCTTTTCTGTCAGAACATGCATGGATAGCATTCTCTTTTATGATATTAAAGAAAACACACATAATGAAAGAGAAGCTGAATTAACACCACTTATTAGAAAATCGGCATTCTTTCTTGGAGACATTATATCTATTAAATTTATTCTCTGATAACTTACTTAAAAATTGATTCATGGTGGCTTGATATAAGAGCCAAATGAAAGGTCACAAGCAATCTAAACAGGGAGGGGATCATATCAAAGATTAAAAGAGAGGCAGCTGTAACAACTATACAAACCATGAAAAGTAGGTTTCAGTAGTCGACCCTGAACAACACAGGTTTGAACTGCACAGGTTCTTATATGAGAATTTTTTTTTCAGTAAGTACAGTAGGGTACTGTAAGTGTATTTTCTCTTACAATTTTCTTTTTTTTTTTTTTTTTTTTTTTTTTAAAGATTTTATTTATTTATTCATGATAGTCACACAGAGAGAGACAGAGAGGCAGAGACACAGGCAGAGGGAGAAGCAGGCTCCATGCACCGGGAGCCCGACGTGGGATTCGATCCCGGGTCTCCAGGATCGCGCCCTGGGCCAAAGGCAGGCGCCAAACCGCTGCGCCACCCAGGGATCCCTCTTACAATTTTCTTAATAACATTTTCTTTTCTCTAGCTTACTTTATTGTAAGAATACAATATATAATATATAAAACATAAAATATGTACTGACTGACTATGTTATTGGAAGGCTTCCAGTCAACGAACGGTAGGCAATTGGAAGTTAAATTTTGGGGGAGTCAGAAGTTATATTTGGATTTTCACCTGTGTGTGTGGGGTGGTGTTCCTAACCCCCATGTTGTTCAAGGGTCAGCTGTATTGTATTTTAAAAAGTGAAATAACAACCAAAAGCTCTTCAGAAATAGACAAACACTATTGCATTTTTGACTTAATTATTTGATCTAATGTCCATGTTAATTTATTTTGTCATTTAGTTTATAGGCAAATATCTTCTCTCTAAATGACATAATCTCTAGAGACATCACTTACTGCCTTAGAGCTTGACATTAACAATAATGACCCACAGCCACCAAATGAAGTTAAGTGAGATCCAGGTTGCTTGGTTAACACAGAGAGTATTAATTTATTTTAGAAATATATCTGTCAAAATGGTCCTCATCAATGGAGCAGGCCTGGGAGTGCAGATTGGGTGCATCTCTTCCAAATCCATGGTCAGTAACCTCAAGTAGGGAACTTGACATCAACATTATGGGAATATGTACAACATGGACATTGGGAAATCCTAAAAATCAGGGTTTTGTTTGCTATGAGAATGTATTGTTAAGCATTACCTGTGCACCACCAATTACAGTACCTAGAAAACTAGTTCTGATTCAGAAAGGCGATAAAAGGAAGTGATCAAATGTGCAATGCAGCATGAACATAAAGCACCCAGCTCTGATGAGCACAGAAGATGGAGGGCTCAAAGAGGGTGATGACAGGGATGCCATAGCAAAGAAGAGAATGACCGAAATGTCTGAAGAATTTGAGGTTTAAATTAAAGTAGAGAATTCAAGAAAATATAAAGGCAACAAGACATTCCAGAGAAAGCAAAAACCAATCTGTCACCAGTGTAAAACAGGAAGCAGTGATCTAAAGAACAATGGAATCATTTCTAAGTGAAAAGTAAAGTAGGTAAGATTCTGAAAGCTATAAGAATATGATAAAAAAGGATATATTTCTTTTCCTAATAAGATACAAATAAATGCAATCAGAATCTTAATAAAATGGAAGGAAAGGAAGAACAGAAGGAAAGAAGGAAAGGAGGAAGGAAGGGAGGAAGAGAGAAAGAGAGAGAGAGAGAGGAAGGGAGAGAGGGAAAAAGACCAAACCAATGATGTAAGGAAAGCATAGTTCAAAGATACCAAGCAGATTAGAATGGAGAGTTATTTTGAATGTAAATATGAAGAAGCCATTGAAACATTCTCTTTGAGTGGCAGAGGGATGGGACTATTGGAACTATAGGAGAGAAATGGCTCATATTTGGAGCTGCATGAAAAATATTCCATACTCATTATAATGTAAATTGTTGCTTACTGGATTGTAGCTTTCAGAATCAAATTGTAGGAAGTCTGAAAGTCTTCATTATGGTTATGGAATGAACTGTAAGTGCAATCTGACCATATAAAGTGTAATCTGACCATAAATATATATGACCATATATATTTAACAAAAGTTGGGAAAGGCTTAATATTCTGTATGTATGGCAACAGGAATGGAGTGTGCTTTAAATTTTTTTCTGAAGGGTCAGATATTTCCTTTGACCAGGCTCCTAGGTGGGAATATTCCCTATAAATCTACAAATCATTAACTGCAACACACTAACCACACACACCAATAGCTCAAGAAACATTTCTGTTTCCTTATTCTATGCCCACACAAATAGGAGTACCTTTTTTTTTTTTTTAAGATTTTTACTTATTTATTTGAGGGACAGAGTGAACAAGTAAGCAAGAGAGAGCACACATGAGTAGGGGGCAGCAGGAGAGGGAGAAGTAGGCTCCCCTGCTAAGTAGGGAGCCTGACATAGGGCTTGATCCCAGGATCATGGGATCAAGGGATCCCATGGGATCATGACCTGAGCCAAAGGCAGATGCTCAATTGACTGAGCCACCGAGGTGCTCCAAATATGAGCACCTTTAAAATACAATAGCTTTCTTATTGATCCATCTATTATGTTTAATGATTCACATAGTATTTTGCTTAATTACTCATAATTATTACTAATTGTGAATATTAATCTATACTTAATTAAAGAGCTATAAAAATGCCAGGTGACCAAACATTTCCATGGGCATTTACCTAGGCTGGGTCTACAGGATAAGCTTCTGGCCAAAGAAAAGCTGGGTTAGAATGTTCATTTTTAAACAGGAAGTACCCTTGGAGATTCAACTTCCCAGTAAGAAAAGTGAGCTGGCTTTTGCTCTCATTCCCCTTGGACTTTTCCCCAGCTCACTGGAGGCAAGCACAATAAAAAAGATCAAAACAGGGTTTTTCCTGTTAGCAGAATCGTAAGGAAACATTTGATCAAACCATAGTTTCACAAAAGACTGTGAAATTAAAGCATATTGTAGGACTGATATTCTCATCTGTATAACTTCTAGCCTAGGGATTCATGCAGTCAGTATTTTATTACCATGAAGGATCAAATCTTTCCTTAAAGTGGGAATTTAAAAGCTCTAAATAATATTCCTATTAGCTAAATTGATATATCTCAGGCCATTTTAAGTAAGTTTTGAGTTACCAGAGTAGGTTTATGTCTAGGAAGTCCATGTAGCCCTCTACACCACCATCATCCTTACTTCCTTTGCTCTAAAATTTCATAGCTACTCAACTCCCAGAGGACTTTTCATGCTTGGAGGTGATAATGTCCAACTTGTATCCTCATAGACCTGTCCTAGGCCAAATTATGGTCTTATATTTCAAGGTATACTTTGTGACTATTTTTTCATGTCTCTAAAAAAAGGATCAATAGCATTTATGTCATGATTCTGTTTCATAGAGACATGTCACAAAGACTTCTAACAACTTGGAGCTTTACCACTATGCTAAAGCAGTTGCTATTCCAGAGGAGCTTCTATGTGTCTGTAGACAGGTAACCAAGACTTAGGAGGTACACAAACTTCAGTGGATCCAAGAATTCTAGATATGACCTTTATTGGTTCATCCAATAAAGACAGTAATAATGTCAAGGGCTTCACAATTTCTGCATAGTTTTATATTATCTTTGGGAGGGGTAGATGGCAAAGATTATTCCACTGAATCCAGAAACCAATGATTTAATGAAATGAATAATGCCAAATCAAGCTTAATATATAACCTCCTTTTTCTGTTGCTTGATTTTTTAGTACCCTTTCCAGTGGCTGAATGGCCAGTAGTATTTATGTAG